AAAAAAAAAAAAAAAAAAGACAGCAGAGGCTGGGAAGGGTGGGAGGATGGGGGGTGGTGAGAAGCAGGTTCCCAGGTATAAACACACAGATGGAAGGGACACATTCGATCAACCACAGCAGAGCAGAGTGACTGTAGTCAACAACAATGTATTATATATTTCTTTTTTTTTTTTGAGTTGGAGTCTCACTCTGTCGCCCAGACTGGAGTGCAGTGGCCGCTCCCGGCCACCACAGCCTCGACCTGCTGGGCTCCGGCGATCCTTCTGCCTCAGCCTTCCAAGCAGTCAGAATTAAAGGCATGCGCTACTATGCTCGGCTGATATTTTGATTTATTGTAGAGATGAGGTCTCGCTGCCCAGGTGGGTCTCGAACCCGTGGGCTCAGGCAATCCACTCACCTCAGCCTCCCAAAGGCGCGGGATTACAGGCTGAGCGACCGAGCCCGGCTTCTTTTTTTTTTGAGTCAGAGTCTCACTCCGTCCCCCAGGCTGGAGTGCAGTGGCACGCTCACAGCCATCCCAGTGTCAACCTGCTGGGCTCTGGCAACCCTTCCGTCTCAGCCTTCCAAGCAGTCAGAACTACAGGTGCACACTACCACTCCTGGCTAATTTTTTTTTTAATGTACTATAGAGACAAGGTCTCATCAAGTTGCCCAGGCTGGTCTCAAACCCGTGGGCTCAGGCAATCCTCTCACCTCGGTCTCCCAAAGTATTGGGATTACAGGCTTGAGTCACTGTGCCCAGTTGTATTGTATATTTCAAGGTAGCTAGAAGAGAGACCCCGAAATGTTGTCAACACATAGAAATGACAAATACTCAAACTGGATATCCCAAATGCCCTGACAGCACCATTTTTTTTTTTTTGGAGTTGGAGTCTCACTGTCACCTAGGTTGGAGTGCAGTGGCACGCTCTCAGTCACTGCAGCCTCGATCTGCTGGGCTCAGGTGATCCTTCCACCTCAGCCATCCAAGTAGCTGGAACTACAGGCACACGAAACCACACCCAGCTAATTTTTTATTTATTGTAGAGATGAGGTCTCGCCAAGTTGCCCAGGCTGGTCTCGAACCTGTGGGTTCAGGTAGTCCTCTCATTTCGGCCTCCCAAAGTGCTAGGATTATAGGTGTGAGCCACTGCACTAGGCTGACATCACCATTTCACACTCTACACATGTAACAAAATGTCATACATACTCCATAAGCATGTAAAACATTATGTACCAACTTAAAAGAAATGGTCGGTCAGGAGGGAAGTCTGAGCCAGTGCAGGGTGGGAGGGACCTGGGAGACAGCTGAACCTGCTGCCCAGATGGGATTCACCATGAACCCTCACATGCTTCAGCATGCAACTCTGCTCTCTGTACTGTTCCCAGAGGCCTCTCTATGTCCTCAAAATGACAAGCATGTGCAGAGCATTCAAAGATATTCACTGGGGCCAGGCACTGCACAGAGGGCAGGGAACATTTCCCCACTTCACAGGTAGGGAAACTGAGGCCCAGAGAGGTGAAGGGCCTGGTTGTGCCTACAGGCAACGCAGTCCACGCACACGGCAGCATGGTCATGAGCCTGAACCCCTGACCCTTGGATGTCCCCTCTCATGTGAGCAAGGACCTCACTATGCCACTGGAGGCTGGGACTTGCCCTCACCCCTCCTTCCTCTGGGAATTGACCCCACTGGAACTGGAAAACAATGCAGGATTCCTAGCACACGGCAGCTGCCCTCCAGCCCTGGGTGATGGTCTGATGGGAAGCCCTGGGAAATGCCCAGAGGGAGCCCCCTGCCCCCACCTGCCACTCACCTCCTCATCCTTGTACCAGGACAGTGACTCAGCTGTCAGCACAAACCAGTACTCCTTGGAGCCGCCCTTCATCAGGCTGATGTTGTTGATGGTCAGCCAACCCCTGCGGATCACCTGGGGGGGAATGTGTGGCTTAGCAGAGGACAGCACCCCACACCCCAGCCACCCCTAGCGCAGCGGCCAGTGCCCTCGCCCCACAGCAAGGCGAGAAGCTGGGACCGCAGCAGAGACACCTCCAGCCCAAAGCCAGGAAACCCAATGCCACCTACCCCAAGCATCTCAGCTAGACACCAATGTGGAAAGCCCTGGGTGAGCAGGCGGACCAGGCGGACCAACCCGCTGGGCCAGGGGCTAATGGGGAACCAGGGAACCAGACCCAGAGAAGTAGTCTCAGGCTTGTGTCTGAGGCTGTGGCATGTGGAATGCACCCTCTGAGGAACTGTATTTGCTTGGGTGAGATCAGGTTCTCAGCTCCTGGCCCCCATGTCCCTGGAAAGTGGTGGCACTGTGAGTGGTGCTCTCTGGCCTTCTTTCTGAGATGGACCAATGGGCCTTCTGCAGACTTGCCTGCCCCCTTTGCTGTGAGTTCACCCATACCCACTCAGCAGGGGTGGGGATGCTTCCACACAGATGCTGGGGATAAAGGTTTGAACCTAGGAAACCCCCCCAGGGACCCTCAAGGGGAAGGAATCATGCCCCATGCTGGCTTCAGGCCCAGGGGTTGCACTTTTCTCTGACTGGGCTGGGAATCCACAGCTGTCATCTGGACAGGAACGAACCCAGGCCTATACCGGGGATCACCTGACAGCTAAGCATAGGCAGCCTAGGGGCCATGGCCCCATGCACCTTGGGCCTCAGACACATGTGGAATGAAGCCTCTACTCTGGACTGGGGACCCCGGGCAGCAGGAGGCATGGGCAGGGCTACATAGGGCCAAAGCAGGGACAGACCAGGCCAAATTATGGAGGGTAGGCCAGCTGAGATGGGCTGGCACTGAGCCCCAGGGCAGGGAGGAGTCTAGGGCAGTATAGGGACTGGTCTGGGGCCCAGGTGCTATCTTCAGGGTGGTTCCCTGGAAGGGCTTCCCGTGCCTACCCCGACCTGCCCCCAGCTGAATTTTAGCAGGGCTACCAGTACCCAGGCCTGGCCCTCCTCACAGGAGGCTGTGAAGATGGGGACCTCTGTGCCATGCAGAAGTCCCTGCCTGGGGGTAACATGAGATGCCATCTGGTGCCTCTTGTTAAACCCAGGGGTACAGACTTCTCCATCCCTGGGAGAGCAAGACAGCTCTCAGGACTCCTGTAGCCATCTACAGCAAGCAGTGGTCTCTGGCACCTGTCCACCCTTGGATGCCTAGCAGGCAAGGGGCAGAGGCTGTCAGTCCAAACAAGGTCACTGGCAACTGGGTGACTGGCTCTTCCTTGTTTACCCAGGATGCCTGGTTTTAGCACTGAAGGCCCAGCCTCCTAATAGCAGCAAACTGGGAGGGCTGGTCACGCTACTGGCAAGACTGGTCTCCAGACAGGCCTGGGGACTTAGAAGGGAACCCCTGCTGCTAGGCCACAGCCACTACTCCTAAGCAGGTCTCTGTGTCCAGGTCCTGTACTGCTGTTCAACTGGGAGGGCCAGGTTGGGGGTCGCTTTGCCCTGCCTTAGTCCAGAGCCAGGCAGAGAGAGTGCCTCAGCAAGCCTTAGTTCAGGCATTGAGTGACAACCAAAGTGGAGAAACAGGACAGGCTGGCAGTACTCCCCAGAGGAGACATCACACAGGGCGAGGCCTCCTCTCCCAGCAGTTGCTGAGGAGACAGATGTGCCTGGTCACTTCCCAGGGACTAGAAGTACAAGGCGCAGCTATGCTCTGGGGTGGGCAGCCATGGGTAAGGGCCCTGCCCAGGGTCTGCTGGGATGGTGTGGCCAAGCCTCAGGCAGGAGGCCTGGAAGGAATCCCTGAAATCCCTTCCTCATGTGGATTCAGAGACACGACCCCCCCACCCCGAGGGGCTGCATGGCCTCCTCATCAGAAAGTCAGATGTGTGTCCAAGGGACACATCCCAAGGATGGGGTTCATAAGGAAGCGCAGGGGAAAGAGACAGAAGAGGCAGTAGGAGACCCATGGGCCAGGTGTTGTGACAGGCATGCAGGCTCGCAGGGGCAGGGGGTAGGAGATGGCACAGCAGGGTCCAGGGGCAGGCTGGATCCGCCTCCTCCCTTGGTGATGGTCCTGACCCAAGTCACTGGGGAACCCCAAGACCACAACCATGCTCCCAGTGTGGCTGGGCTTTGGGTTGGGGACATGGAATCTGGAAGGAAAAGAGCCCCTAACCCTCTTGGGGTGCAGTGGAGAAGCAGTTCCTGGCTGTTTGGTAGAGGACACTGTTCAAGGTCAAAGGGAGCTGGGGGGACACACAGGAAAGCGTGAACCACAGGTCCAATGCTGATTGATTCCTTCTGCCACCCAAAACCTACCAGGGTTTCACCTAGGCCCTATTTACATCTTCCAGGCCCCAGCCTAGGGTCAGCTCAGTTACTGGAAAGTCCCTGGGATCACCCGAGATCCTTGCCAGAGGGAAGTGGCAGGGCCCAGCCAATGCCGAGGGGTCTGGTGGTGGAGAGTGTCTGGAACAGGAGCCTCTCCTGGGGTTGGTCCCAGGCTAGGTCCTCAAGGAGGAGCTGGGGCTGAGGCCCACTGCCTAGACATGTGTACCCCGAAACAGGCTTGGCTCTCAGACAGAAGCAGCACCTGCTTCCCACAGGGCTGGGCCAGGCCCCATATCAGCATCACGACCACACCAGGCCCAACTGAGGGTTCTGTACAATGGGGGGAGGTGGCACCCACAGCAGGGATGGCAAATACCACTCAACTTGAGGGTTGTGCCTTCGACTGGTAGGGGCTGCAGAGCACTGGGGTGAGCATGCTGAGTGTGCAGGAAAAGGTGCCAGGATGAATTAGTGATACCTGTTCCAGGCAAAGGGTAAGGGAAGGGGGCAATGAACAGAACAGCCTCATCAACTGTCACAACTGCTTTGGAGGCAGGAGGGTAGTAGCAGCATATAGGAAAGAGGCCCCTGATAGCTGCCATGGGTACAGAAGCGGGTGTCATGTGGCATGCATGTTAGGAAAAAATGCCAGTATTGATTAGCAGCGTCTGCTATGGGCTTGTGAGGGAGGAGAGGCACAAGCAGAAGAATGCTGATCAACTAGCCATGTCTGCCACGGGCACAGGAAGGGATAATTTCTGCATATGGGAAAATATGCTCTGATCCATGAGTGATTGCCTGCACTGGAGACAGGAGGAGTAGCAGTGGCAAGAATGAATTCCAGTAGGGCTCCAGCAAAATATTCCACGGCCAGGGATGTGAGGGGAGGCAGAGGCAGTGTGCAAGTATTTGCCATCCCTGCCCTATAGAAAACCAGGTAAACCTGCCAGGAATCAGCTGCTGGGATGGGCTTCCAACAAGGGTGGCGATCAGGTTAGTGTCTGTGAGTCAACATAGCCGAGGGCAACGCAAAGTCCACATCGACCACAGTATGGGGTTTCTGGTTAGCTCGGTTGTTAGTATTTGCGTTATCGGGGGGTGGGGGGATGTTATGGGGCAGGTGGGGTCTCATCACTCCTAGATTGTCTAATGTTTGTTACCACACTAAGCAGGTACTTACCAGAATCTCCCCCTTTGAAAATGCAAAGTTAGGATTGTGGGTAAATCAAGGAAGAGCAGGCAGAGGAAAAGAGACGAAGGGACATGAAGGGAATGGAGAAAAAGCAGGAAAAGCACAAAAACAGAAGAGAAGAGCAGGGGGAAAAACAGCAAAAGAAAAAAATTACATGCTATTAATCATATTCATGGTGTTAATATTTAATTCATTATCATCTCCCGAAACAAAAAGCAACAACATACATATTACCTATGGCAAGCGCAAAAAAATCATGCAGTGGTTACGTCCTTCCTTTCAAGGGGCTCTAGGATCGTGCAGGGTAACGGCAGGGTCCCCACCCCTCCCCTGCCCCAGCCTGCTGTGGAGAAGGCAGGGATATTGACAGAAATTTCACAAAGATGATGCGTTTTCTTTAAAAAAAAAAAAAAGACACCAAATACTGGCATTTATAAAGCCATCGTATTTTACAAGGCCCCTACCTGGAGCAAGGTGTCAAGGGAGAAAACGCTTCATGTGGCTCAGGGCTTCTCCGGGTGTGGGGGTCTGGCCCCCCCAGACTCCCTTGAGCTGCTGGTGACTTTGCAGCCTCTCCCAGCTCCCTCCAACAGACAGGCTCCCAATACCTGGGGCCATGCTAGGATGATCAATTAGGTCACAGACCTTTCTTAGGGTCTGTGGCCTTGGATGTCAGACGTGGCCTACTGGGTGGGTGAAATCTGCCACCTCAGCCCTGCCAGTGTTAGCTCTCAGACCGTTTTCTGGAAATATCAACCTAATGGGACTCCAGAAGCCAAGAGAGTGGGTGGCCTGATTCCAAGGCTTCCGGCAGGGCATTGTATGCACCAGGTGCCACCAATGGGGCCTGTTTGTTCCTCAGTGCCCTCCCACCCAGGGTGAAGCACTAGGGTGCAGAGGCGGGCTACCTGATTAGGGATGGCCCTCTTCTTGTTCAGCTGCGTACTCCTCTGCTGGGCACTGAAACCAAAACACAGAGAGCGTTCATGTGCACAAGACGCCGGGAGGTACAAAGCGCAAGAGACCTTGGTGGCCCAGTGATGGTCTTCTCCCTCAGGGGCCACCTGGTCAGCCACGGGCAAAGGTGGAGAGAAGCCCCCGACACACAAAAAGCTGCCTGAGCAAAACAGCTTGGGCGCGTGGACAAGAAAACAGATCTGGTCAACCCAAGGTTCTAAGTCCTGACTTCAGCCTACCAGTTAAAGGGCCAGTTACTTCCAGAAGCCACTAAATCCCAGAGCCCCCAAGAGGGAGTATGCCAAGCTGGAGTCCCAGGTGACCAGGGGAACCCATGGTGGCTCCAGTGTCACTGGAGAGCCAGGCTGGTGGGGAGTCACAAACCTGAGTCTTCCCACTCATCTCCCATCCAACCCCCACAGTTGTCCATCAGTGGTTCTAAACACAGAGCCATCCGGCCTAGGTGATGAAGTTGTGGGATAGCTGCCTGCCACAAAACACCACTTATCCTGCTGACTCCTAACCCCATTCAGAGGACGCCCAAGGTTCACCGGGCGTGTTTTTCAAGGTTTCTTATTTGTCCACAACCCCAGATATCTTTTCTTCATCATCCATCCTACTTCCTGGCTAGGTCACACTGGCACAGTTGAGTCCACTGTATTTGATAACATGGCACCTACTCTACACCCTTGTTGGTTCTGACACTTTTTCTACTCCGACAATCATATCACTACCTGCAAACAATTTATATTTCCTGTTATTTATCCATCATCTTTTCTTATCTTATTGCTTTGGCTGAACCTTTCAGAACAACATGGAAAAACAAATCAGCTGGGTCACATTCCCTTGCTGACCGCCTCTGGGGCTTTGCTCTCAAGTCCAAGTTGGCTGTTGGGTAAGGCAGAGAGCAGGCTTCTGCTTCTGCATCAGGACAGGTGGGAAAACTAAGAATGGAGTCAGAATGTTACTGAACAATTCTAATATTCAATAAGTGTATTATAAGGTTTTTTTCTCTGGGCCCAGTTTTTTTTTTCTTTTTTGAGTCAGAGTCTCGCTCTGTCACCCAGGCTAGAGTGCAGTCTCAGCCTCAACCTGCTGGGTTTAGGCGATCCTTCCACCTCAGCCTTCCAAGTACCTGGAACCACAGACATGCACCACTACCCCTGGCTAACTTTTTTTATTTATTGTAGAGATGAGGTCTTGCCATGTTGCTCAGGCTGGTCTCGAACCCCTGAGCTCAGGTAATCCTCTCACTTCTGCCTCCCACTGTGCTGGGATCACAGGGGTCAGCACCACACCCAGGAATGGCCCAGTTTTTATTGTCTGGAGGGCAGTGAGAGGCCCAGAACATCTAAGCACAGAAAGGAGTTTGATCAACAGCATCTCAAAGAGGTAGGACTGAGCTAAGTTAACCTACCGACTGATGGCTGGGTGGCAGATAGCCCCAAAGTGCTATCTTTTTCTTTTCGTTCGTTCTTCCTTTTTTATTTTATTTTTCTGAGTTGGAGTCTCACTCTGTTGCCCAGACTGGAGTGCAGTGTCACGCTCCTGGCCACCACAACCTCGCCCTGCTGGGGTCCGGCGATCCTTCCACCTCAGCCTTCCGAGTAGCCGGAACTACAGGCGCGTGCTACCGTGCCTGGCTAATTTTTTATTTATTGTAGAGACGAGGTCTTGCCAAGTTGCCCGGGCAGGTCTCGAACCCGTGGACTCAGGCAATCCACTCGCCTCGGCCTCCCAAAGTGCTGGGATTACAGGTTGAGCCACCAAGTCCAGCCTCTTCCTTTTTTTCAAATTGAGCTGGGGGTCTTACTCTGTTGCCCAAGCTGGAGTGCAGTGGTACAATCATAGTTCACAGCTCACTGCAGCCTCAACCTCCTGGGCTCAGGTGATCTTTTCACCTCAGCCTCCCGATTAGCTGGGACTACAGGAACACGCCACCATGCCCAGCTAAGTTTTTTATTTTTATTTTTGTAGAGATGAGGTCTCATTATATTGCCTAGGCTGGTCTCAAACTTCTGGGCTAAAGCAATCCTTCTGCCTCGGCCTCCCAAAGTGCTGAGATTACAGGCATGGGCCACCACACCTGGCCAGAGGTGCTATTTTCTAAGGGCTTCCTGGCTCCCACACTGGTCCCAGGTCCTTCAAATAACAGCCTATGTGGAGACTCCTATCCCTGTTTGAATCTAACCCGAAAGCTCCAGGTTCTTTGGGGGAATCCCAACATCCTCCCCTCAGCTTCAGGCCCCCCTGCTGATGGGGCACGGGAGCCATGCCCTCACCTGCGCCCTGCCTTGGTCTATCCTGATGCTCTCTTGCAGCCCCCATCCCTGTCTCTGATTATCTGGGGCCTGCTGCCCACCACCTGACTGTCCCCACTTCCCCTGGATGACCTGTCCAGGCCACACCCTGCCTCCCCTTTCCCACCACCCCACCCTCCCCTCTTTTTCTACTTTCATCATCCTTGGGATAATCTGTTCAGTGCCTCTATCTCCCAGCCTGTGGGCCCTAAAAGGGCAGGGCTCCAGCTGGCCTACTCCCTGCCCTAGCCCAAAGGCCCAGTACCAGCCCCAGCTCTAGGAGTGCCTTGTAGCTCCTTATGGGCTCCTGGCATGTCCCACCCAGAGCTGGGACCCCCCAGCCAAGGCATCCCCATTCACACAGCAGAAGAAAGGCACACAGCAGGCAATACCCACCCGGTCACCAGCTGCTCAGTATAGTAACAGCTGGGGCAAGTGGGAAGGCCCAGGAGTCCAGAGGAAAGAGTGTAGTAGTCAAAGGAAAAACAGGAGAGATTGTGAGAAGGAACTGCGGATGAAGTGTGAGAGGCAGAGACATGGAGGTGAGGAAGACAGCAGGCCACAGAGGGACCAGCAGCCACACCACACCTAGGGTGGCCAAGAGAAAGGGGCAGGAGGGACTGCCTCCCCAGGGGACGGGGTGCAGTCCACATCTAGGGTTCCCCAGCCCACCCTGGCGCAGTCAGGCTTGGGGAGAACCTTCAGATGAGGCATGCATGCATTCATTCCCTCCTTCCTTCCTGTCACATACCTGATGCCTCGCACAGAACAGATCCTTAATAAACTTTGTCAGGCATATAGTTAAAATTTTTTTTTTTTTTTTTTTTTTGAGTTGGAGTCTCACTCCGTTTGCCCAGACTGGAGTGCAGTGGCCGCTCCCAGCCACCGCAGCCTCGACCTGCTGGGCTCCGGCGATCCTTCCGCCTCAGCCTTCCAAGTAGCCAATTACAGGTGCGTGCTACCACGCCCGGCCGATTTTTTGATTTATTGTAGAGATGAGGTCTCGCTGCCCAGGCGAGTCTCGAACCCGCGGGCTCAGGCAATCCACTCACCTCAGCCTCCCAAAGGCACGGGATTACAGGTAGAGCCACCGAGCCCAGCTTTATAGATAAATTTTATACCCAGGTGACTGTATAGTCCAAGACCTGGCTCTAGAGAAACCTCTTCAAGGAAGACTGCCTGGATTTTCCAGGCTAGGCCAAAAGGACACCCTCTGGACTCCCATAGGCCCTGCAGAACCCCTACCCAGCACTGAGCACACCTGGGGGCCCATCCGTCCCTCGCTAGAGTCCTTTCGGGGAGGCTGTGGATTGGGTGTGAGCTTGCCTGCTGCCCTGCCCCAAGGCACACCAGCAGTACATGCTGAATGAATGCAGGAAACTGGCTGCAAGGGCTGTTTGTTCTTCCACCAGCCTCAGGCAGCAAGACCTGCATGAGCCACCAGCCAAGAGTAAGTCCAAGTTCACAGGCTAGAGGTGGTGAGCTGAGGGAATCAGGAGGCAACACTCAATGGTTTTCTCTCCACCCTCATTTGGGTGCCATAGAAGGTTCTGGTTTTAAATCTACAGTGTATGCCCTGGAAGCCTGAGGGATCTGAGCAGCTGTCCAAAGGGCAGCCGCTAAATCCCTGTGCCCATGAAAAGACCAAGTCAGAAAAGCTGCACACTGGCCTGTGAAAGGCTCTGAGAAGGCCTGCAGGAAAGGAAGTCCTGCAGCTAGCTGGGCTCACCCTCTCCCCACAGGTCTGACCAGGATATCCCCTGTTCCCTTTAAACTAACCCCGGGGATGCCTCCTAGGAGCACTGGTTGAGGACAATGAGGCCGGGGGTCACCATCAGCCCAAGACAGCTTCCGGGTGTTCTCAAATATGGCTCTACCGTCACCCCAGGACCCCTGACAGAGCCCCGGGGCAGGAGTAGGTGCCGCCTTGTTGGTCACTGCTCCAAAGAGTACATACTTGGCAAATCCAATGAAGTCTTCATGGTTGGTGTTGATGTAGGACTGCTCGATATCAATTAATAGAAGAATCTGTGGGAAAGCAGTTCACTGTGAGTATCCAGCAAGTGCAGCAAGGGAGGAGCAGCAGGGAGTACCTGGGAACCAGACAGGAACCGTGGAATTTTCCAGACCTCAGGGCCTCAAGTCAGCCTGGGCCAACAGAGAAAAGCTGGGCAACCCAGTGGGGCAGGAGCTTCATCTCAGCCACTACCTGGCCATGTGACCCTGGACTTCATAGTACAAAGCTGTAGAATGGGGTGATAGAAACCCAATTGCAAAGGATTCTATAAGTCACAGTATATAGAGTCTTTAGACTAAAGTCTGGCACATTCTAAGTGCTGCAGTAAACCTACACAGCTAAGTTGACTAGGAAAGAATGTTAAAATAAAACATACACAGGCACCTATGTACATAGATGTACACACACACACACACACAGCTGGAAAGGCCATGGTCTCAGGCAAAGAGCAGGCACCAACAAATCCACTGCAACTGCTGAAACCTCCTCCCCTGGTCCTTCCGTCCCATTGGGCCAGAATGAGGCTGGTCTATAGCGCCCCAGGTTTGGCATCCAGGGAGGCCCCCTGGCTAGGGCCAGGCACTCCCCCTCACTGTGCCTCCGAGGCCTCAAGTAAGACAGGGCAAAGTGGTCGAGCTTGTGGGGTGGCTGGAGAGTGCCAGGGTGCTGCCACTGGTCCTGTGAGGCCTGCGTCTCATCAAGCAGTAGCCCTCAGAGCATACTCAGCAGTGTCCACGGGGGGTGCCAGGGGCCATGGTGGACTCAGAAGAGTTAGCAGCTTCTTCGCCAACAATGACAGCAACATGAATCAGCCTCTCCCAAGCCTTGCACACAACTTCCAGGCTACAGAAGTTGCCAGGCACACATGGACTGGCTCCTCAATGAAGCAACTGACAAATTGAAACTGTGGACCTTCTGAGGCAGGCGTCTCCAACCCCTTGGCCACAGACCCTTATTGGTCCATGGCCTGTTAGGAACCTGGCTGCACTGCAGGAGGTAAGCAGCAAGCAATTGAGTGAAGTTTAGTCTGTATTTACTGAAGCTCCCCATCACTCACATTACTGCCTGACTCCACCTCCTGTCAGATCAGCGGCAGTAATACATTCTCATAGAAGCACCAATCCTATTGTGAACTATGCACGCGAGGGGTCTAGGTTGCATATTTCTTATGAGAATCTAATGCCTACTGATCTGAGGTGGAGCAGAGGCAGTGATGCTAGCACTGGGGAGCAGCTGCAAATACAGATTAACACTAGCAGTAAGGTTTGACTGCACAGAGACCATAATTAATCAATTGGTTGCAGACTCATATCAAAACCCTATCAGCGAATGGCAAGTGAGTTGACATTCTTCAGTTGTATAGCCACATCTAGTGGCAGGCTTTAAGTCAGAATCCAACACTCATTTTAGTCCGTGCATAGCCTACCCATTATTTCACTTGTCACTTCTGTTCATGCCTCTTTTTTAAAATGGTGAGCTGTATAATTAAGTCATTATACATTACAATGTATCAGAGAAATAAAGTACACAATAAATGCTACGCGCTCAAATCATTCCCAAGCCATCTCCTCCCCTGGTCCATGGAAAAACTGTCTTCCACAAAACCAGTCTCTGATGCCACAAAGGTTGGGGACTGCTGCTCTGAAGGACAAATGAGCTGACGTCCTCCCATCCATGGCAAGGGGAGAGGGATGGCTGAACAGGAGAGACCAAGCAACCATAACATGAAGGCTCAATTCCATTCTGAACACACAGTTGCAAAGAGGCCACAGAGGACAATTAGGGACAGTGTCTGGAAATAGGGGGTGAGCCACAGGAAGCTGTGATGACAGCCCAGGGCCCAGCAGGGGACAGTCTCAACAGATGTGACCCCTGCTGCAGAGGGTGGCAGGTATAAGGGAGTGTGCCCCATGCCACGTAGGTGCACACTTGCACTCTTTGCAAGATGTTAAAACACAAAAAGCATTGCAAACATCCTCTGGTGGGCAACCGGAGAAACAGCCACACCCCATCCACTCCCAGGAACTCAGCAATCAAAGCGACTCACTACTGACACAGAACAAAGGACACAGGTATGCAGCCTGAGGGGAGAGTCACAAGGCCACATACTGTAGGAGGCCACCAGACAAACCATGGGGACAGGGAGTGGACCCACCGTGGCCAGGGATGAGAGTTTGGAAGGGGTCAGCTACAAAGAAACACAGGGACCAGAATTTCAGAACCGTTCTGTGTCTTTTTCTCACTCTGTTGCCCAGGCTGGAGTAGAGTAGCCACTGCAGCCTCAACCTCCTGGGCTTAAGCCATCCTCCCACCTCAGCCTCCCAAAGTGCTGGGATTTCAGGTGTGAGCCACTATGCCTGGTCCCATTCTGTGTTGAAACATACACTGCTGTATGTATTTGTCAACATGCATAGAACAGTATACTCAAAATTTACGGCACGTAAATTATATCTGAAAAAAAGACACAAAACCAATACCTGGTCCTTGGTTCTGCCCTCCCGTTCTCGGATGTACGTGGTGACGATTCGCTCCGTTTCCTCTCGCAGCCGGGGGTAGGAGCTGAGCTGGGGGCGAGAGCAGAGGGGCTGTGTTGGCTGAGTTCTCGTGCCACGGGAAGCAACGTGAACCACACAGGTAGAAATGGAGGGGAGGGAATGAAACATGGGGGCCACTGAGTCCCCACCCTGCTCCTGTCTCCCGGGGCACTGGCTGGGAGATAGGAACAGCATGTGGGGGCGCTGTGGACAGGAGAGCAAGAGCAGGGGTGCTTTCGAGCCAGTGACTGAAAGGTGGCAGAGAAAGTCACCCTCTCTAGGTGACAGCGGGAGCCCTGAAGCCCTCACCAGCTTGTGAGCATGTGGCATCTGTTCTGGAATGGTAAGGGCGGCACCTGGGCCATTGGCCTTGGAGGGACCCCCTTGTGCAAAACCATTCCTAATCTTTGGCACCCATTCCCCACATACCCCCACTACCCATTGCATTTATCTGCAGCAGTAAATTAACCAACCCCATGCACGGGAGAGTCACAAGTACCGTAGCCTGAGTCAAGTCCACAAGTTGGGGAAAATGGAACAGTCACACGCAGGCCTACCCAGGAACGACGTGTTTCACTGCTTTGATGCTGGTTGGAAACTTCCCTACTTTTTTAACCTTTCATAGAAATGAGATCTCACTATGTTGCCCAGGATGGTCTTGAACTCCTAGGCTCAAGCAATCGTCCTGCCTCTGCCTCTTAAAGTGCTGGGATTACAGGCGTGAGCCACCACACCCAGCCATGGAAACCCTTTCTCTAAGGGTTGGTGAATTGGCAGTGCTTAGGAAACATGATGCACTTGGCAACATGGAAAACACATCACGCAGCCGGCAGCCAAGGAGGGATCTGCATGTGCTGCCATTCCCCCATTTTGTTTGCTGATGCAACATTGAAACATGGCTACACAACAGTTGGTCCACAGGGGGGGGATTCCCGCCAAAGCAGAATGCCCCAGATGCCCGGGTTGAAGCTGACGCATAAAAGGAGGGGATGGGAACAAATGTGGAGAGGATAATAACGAAAGCCGTTACCTTCTCGGCACACTTTTTAATGACCGTGGCCAGTTCTGAGACCACGAGGTCAACACACTTCAGACTTGGCTCTTTGAGTTTTACAATCTGTTTTTTCACAATGGCTTCAAAGGCCATGTCGGGGGTGAAGAGCCCCGTCCTGGGTCATGCGGAGGGCGGGACGAGGCAGAAAGACACCCAGGGACAGTGCAGGCCACACGCGGGACGGGAGGCAAAGAGAGAGAAGAAAGGAGGAGCTGTTAGTCCATGCATAGAAAGGCCGGCGCCTGCATTTGCCCCGGAAGCTGCTTCGGGTCACAGAGGCCTGGGGGAGGGAGGGGGAGGGGGTGGGATCTGATAACAGAGAACTTCGGGGGTTGTCATCATAAAACAGCCAAGGGTGCCGGGTGGGCTGTCCCCCCTTTTCCAATCGAAGAAGCTTAGGAAGCAAATGTGGGCTTTTCCAGGCTGACGACAAAGGGCTCAAGCAGAAACCCCTGGCAACCAAAGCGCTGGGGACATTGTGGGTGCACAAGCAAGGACTGTCACCCCGAGAGGCACTTCAGCTGCTTGGCCAAGGTGGGCTGCCTGGGGAACGGGCCCATGGAGACCCAGTGCATCCTGCCAAGGGACAGTAGTCACTATAAGAGCACAGAGGCGCTGTGATGGAGCAGGCCTGAGAACAGGCTGCCCCAGGGGCACAGCATGGGGACAGGGAGCTGGCGGGGCACTCAGGTGTCCAGCTGGTGCTGCTGAGCTGGGCACCCATAAGCTCCAGCACCATGAACACAGAAACTGCTGGCACCAGGGAAGCCTGAGGATGCTGAGTATTTGTCAAGAAGAGATGATGACTAGGGATGGCTAGGGAGCTCGGCTTCCAGCAGCTGATGTGGGGTCCCTCGTTGTTTCCCAGAAGGCAGCAAAGCGACAGCCCAGTAAACCCCAATTACATCAGACACATGCTAGGCTTGGTATCAGGGTCCCAGGGAGACTGGGCCACCTATCTGGCCAATCCTGGAGGCCTGGCACCCCCAGTGGGCCCAGGCCAATGTGCTCCCGCCCCAGCCTCTACACAGAGGCCACCTTCTTGGATATCAGGGCAACCTGGGGTAAACAAGGCACCAGTGGGGGCCGATATAGCACTGGGAACCTGATACCAAACCCCCGTATCCCCGTTTCCACAAGGCCATGAGTCACCCTGTCGAGGGTGCAATACCTTACTGGTACACTGCCTAACTGTATTGATTAGCTCCTGGATTACCAGGTCAACACATTTCAGACAGGGCTCTTTCAGCTTGACGACCTGCTTTTTCACAATGGCCTCGAATGCCAAGTCCGGGGTGAAGAGCCCGGTCCTGAAACCGTCCAGACCCAGGGGAAGGGGAGATAAGTTAGAGAGAAACAAAGTACAGTAAGCAATGTCACAGGCACCGGCCCAGTCCCCAACAAGGAACGAAGATCAAGTTAAGTCTGGGGGCCAGATGCCTGAATCCGCTGCCGGGAAAACCCCAGGGTGAGTCAAGGATCCCATGGCAATACAAGGCCACACAACTGGAGTAACTATCTTTGTTAGAATATGAAGGGGACCCGTGATGAGAACAAATGCTGGGTGGCCCTAACGCTGAATCAGCTCCACCCCTCCCCCCCCAGGCGAATCTGCAGCTAGTTGTCTCGGTGTACCACAGTGACTAAGACTTGTGCCAGCCAACTGAGCAGGAACCCAACCACATCTAATCAGCAGCCATGGACAGCCCAAGGCCTGCAATGGCCCCCACAGGACTAACACAGCCCTGCCCTAAAACACCCTTGAGACCCATAGGGAGGGGCTTACAGCTGCTGAAAGTCACTCAAGAGCCCTCTTAAGGCCTTAGGATCAGGGCACCAGAGGTGGAGAACCTGAATGGCTGGAGGGCAGTATTTGTGAGGAGAAAGGAACACGGTGGATCTCTCTGTGAACTTGCCTGACTCCATGGATATTCTTAATGGCGTAGCTGATCTCCCGTCTCAAGTCCTTCTCATCAAACTCCATCTGAGAAGAGATAAGTCAAACACATGCAGGGAGGTACCGGGGACATCCCCATAACAGGTGTGTATTTGGGGAACATACTCTGCTACGTGCACCTGCATTTGCAAAGCAAAATAACCAGTCAAAATTTTTAAATGCAGTTTCAGCAAATACGCTGTGAAACCAACACACTCACTATGTTGGTAAGAACATGAATCAATACATACTTTCCTATGGGTTACTTGGTAGCACAACTCAAGAACCTCCAAAAACACAACTATATTGTCACTTAATAGTTCAAATGCAGCCGGGCTCTGTGGCTCAGCCTGTAATCCTGCGCCTTTGGGAGGCTGAGGTGAGTGGATTGCCTGAGACCGCGGGTTCATGATCCCCCTGGGCAACTTGGCGAGACCTCATCTCTACAATAAATCAAAAAATCAGCCAGGCGTGGTAGCGCGCGCCTGTAATTCCGGCTACTCAGAAGGCTGAGACGGAAGGATTGCCGAAGCCCAGCAGGTCGAGGCTGCAGTGGCCGGGAGCAGTCTGGCGACAGAGTGAGACTCCAACTCAAAAAAAAAAAACAAAAAACAAACAAACAAACAAACAAACAAAAAAATAGTTCAAATGCTCTAGAAATTTATGTTGGGGAATTAACAAAGATTTAGCTACTTGTACAGAACTACTCATTACCATTAGCAAAGAAAAATTGACTACAACCCAAATGTCCAATACTGGAAGACTGGCTAAATAAATGATGGATGTCCATAAAATAGGATGTGTTTGACCAATAAAATTCAACTACACATACATGACTAGTTTGGAAAGATGGTCACCTGATAAAAACAGAAGGGTACAAAGACACAGAATTGGTTTTTGTTTTAAAAATATGACTGGGCATGGTGGCTCACGCCTGTAATCCCAATATTTTGGGAGGCCAAGTTAGGTGAATTGCTTAAACCCAGGAGTTTGAGACCAGCCTGGGAAACACAGAGAGACCTCATCTCTAAAATAAAAATTAACTTGACATGGTGGCACGTGCCTATAGTCCCAGCTACTTGGGAAGCTGAGGCAGGTGGATCTCTTGAGCAAGGAGACTGAGGCTGTGGTGAGCTTTGATCACACCAGCTTGGGAGACAGAAAGAGACCTCGACTTAAAAAAATATATATACACACACACAAATGTACACAAGTATAGATAAAGATATATGCTATGCTTGTGTATGCAGCTGGGCTTACCTATTTGCGCCGAAATAATTCTGAAAGGAGGCACACCTGGATGTTAACAACTCTCACCTATAGGTGTGTAGGTAATTTGCGCCTTTTATTTATTTATTTTATTTATGTTTCATTTTTTATTTTTTTTGAGTTGGAGTCTCACTCTGTCACCCAGACTGGAGTACAGTGGTCGCTCCCAGCCACTGCAGCCTCGACCCGCTGGGCTCCGGCGATTCTTCCACCTCAGCCTTCAAGTAGCTGGAACTAGAGGCGCGCACTACCACGCCCGGCTAATTTTTTGATTTATTGTAGAGATGAGGTCTCACCAAGTTGCCCAGGCAGGTCTCGAACCCATGGGCTCAGGCAATTCACTCACCTCGGCCTCCCAAGGCACGGGATTACAGGCTGAGCCACCGAGCCTGGCTGCACCTTTTATTTTTAAAAATTTATTGATTTTCATAAAAATACTATGTGCTCACTATAAACAGTATAAAACTCCAAGTAAATCACACACACAAAACGGAAAAAGTAAGTCCCACGTCCCAGCACCCAGAGCAGACATTTTTGTCACCAACCTTGCAGATCTGGTGACACCCAGAAACGCTCTGAGACATGCGTGTGCAATTTCAGACATAGGATGTTATGTGCCATCTCTATACTGGCTCCATAAACTGTTTTTTTCTTCCTTCAACAACACGTTGGAGACATTTTCCTATGTAAATTTACATATATTTTCTCCGCATTTTGCAAAAAGTTTACATTGGCTTTGTTAGAGGAAAAAGTGTGAATTTCCATTCAGTTCTGACCAAACCTCTCCACTGCCCACTGTGAGGTGAAAGCCCTAAGAACCCTGCCTCCAGGCCCTGTTCCACCCACTGCAGGCTCTCATGGTCCGGACAGGGCATCAGTTGAGGCCAGCAGGAGGGTGCCTGACCAGAAATGTGACAGCCCCCCTGGAGGTTACTACCTTCACAAGTTCAAAGGGAAAGCGCTCATGGAAGATGCGGTTGATCCGGGCGCCCCCTGAGAGCTCCAGCGTGTCCACTTGGTCTCCTGAGCCCTCAATCCTCTTCTCAAAGTCTACCCCAAACTGCTGGACCATCCTACAAGGAAAGAAAGAAGGTTGAACACCAAAGTAGAGGCTTTGACACAGTTCAGGAATGATGTTCCGTGTCACGTCAGGGCTTGTTTTCCTTTTTTCATTTTTTTTGCTGCAAAACGTCTAGCTATGTTCAAAGAAATCAACAAAATTCAAGAGCTTCCAGGCTGGCCGTGGTGGCTCATGCCTATAATCCCAGCACTTTGGGAGGCTGAGGCAGGAGGATTGCTTGAGTCCAGGAGTTTGGGACAAGCCTGGACAACATAGTGAGACCTAGTCTCTACAAAAAAACAAAAAAATTAGTCTGGTATAGTGGCATACGCCTGTAGTCCCAGCAACATGGGAGGCTGAGACAGAAGGATCACCTCAGCCCACGAGGTTGAGGCTGTGGTGAGCCATGATCATGCCACTGTACTATAGCCTGGGCAACAGAATGAGACCTCGACTCAAAAAAAAAAAAAATTCAAGAGTTTACAATGACAAACACTGGGTACAAGCCAGGCTCACTAGAAGTCTATTATTATTCACTTATTCAGTGTGAGGAGTCATCACTCCACAGTGCAAAGGATGAACGAAGCTCAGGGGTTAGCAACCTCTGCCTGAGGCTTGACTTGATTTGGCAGGAGGGTGGGGTGAAATGGCAGCCCCTCCACACAACTCAGGTAGCTTTAGCTGGTTCCCACCATCTCCCTGCCTGGACAGGTGCTTGGCCCTTCTGAACCTCAATTTCCTCATCTGCTAAGTGGACTGATGATAATAGCATCTAGCCCACAGGGTCATTGTGTAGATGGAAGAAGTTTCAAAAAATAACCAATCCTTAAATTGCTTATCCCAGCACCCCGTGCCATCTGCCTTCATCATCTGTACCCCAAAATTTGTGATCTACTCAAACATTCTCAGGGAGTCACCCCTCAAGGGAAGCAAGCTCCAGTAGGGACCAAAGCCCAGCCCTCAGCCCGCATTTCTTAGCAGAGAAGAGTCCCGCTCTGATGAGTAAACCCACTGGATGGTGGTGAGCTTGGGGGTCACCAAGGCCCAGGCATCCCCCAGGGGGAACGCTGCTGCTGGATCCCCAAAAGGCCCTCACCACATGCAGTAGCAGGTGTGCAAGCTTGATTTCCTTCTGGGAGACACACCGGCCTAGGTTAATGCCACCCGTGGAACAGGGACCTGGGACTATGAGCACGCCTGGGCCAGGGTCATGAATGGCACAGCACTGAACCAATGGCAGACGACAGACAGGAGGGCTTCAGGAGGATGGAGACTCCAGCTACCTCTGCCACCCATAGGGGAGATGACACATGGAGCCCTGAAGGCCATCTAGGAGCTCGGCTAAGGCTGCACTCACAGAGTGTTCTGGACAATTGTCCCCCAAAATGCAGGCTGATGTCCTAGCCCCTGCCACCTCAGAAGGTAACCTCATCTGGAGTCATCATTGCAGAGGGAATCAGTCAGGAGAAGGCCACACTGGAGCAGGGTGGGCCTATGCCAACACGGCTGGGTCCTTATAACACAGGGACATTTCACCATACACAAAGGTAACCCGAGAAGACAAAAACAGACAGGGAACACCAGGGACTACTGCAACTGCCTAACATCCTCAAGGAACCTATTCTGCCAATACCTCCATCTCAGGCTTTTAGCGCCCGGAAATGGGAGACGACACCTTCCCGACATGTATGCTGCCCAGTCAGTGGCCCGTGGTTATGGGAGCCCGAGCAGGTTGCATAGCACCATACAGGCAGTGGTCAGTTATTTGACACAAGCGTCATGAGTTTACACTAAAGTTAAATGTCTGGGAACATGGGTCCTTGTTCCTGGTTCTAGAAGCTAAGAGATCCCGGATGCAAAGTACAAAGCCAAGAAAGGAAAGTTGTTCTGAAAAAATGTCCCAGACACTTCTGGCTGAGGAAAAGTTCTACCAGAGGCGTCTAAGTGATCAGTATTACCAGTGCAGTGGCTCACGCCTGTAATCCCAGCACTTTGGGAGGTGGAGGCGAGAGAACTGCCTGAGCCCAGGGGTTTGAGATCAGCCTGGTCAACTTGCTGAGACTTTGCCTCTACAATAAATATAATTAGCTGGGCATGGTGGCATGTGCCTGTAGTTCCAGCTACTTGGAAGTCTGAGGCAGAAGGATCACCTGAGCCCAGCAAGCCAAGGCTGTAGTGACCATGAGCATATCACTGCACTCTAGTCTGGGCGACAGAGTGAGATCCCAACCCCCAAAAATAAAAGTGATCAGCATTCTGTGCACAGGATGGAGTTTATAGGTCAAGAAAGCCATGGATATAGCCTTATCCCTGGCACGAAGCAGTGACCAGCCTGAGCAGGGCTGGAGAACCAGACACAGAAACTGATGATGATAAAGGCAAAACCAATTAGTTTTTCTTTTATTTCATAGAGGTTGGGTCACTATGTTGCCTAGAGAGGCCTCAAATTCCTGGGCTAGAATGGTCCACCCGCCTCAGTCTCCCAAGCAGCTGAGGCTACAGGTGTGAGCCACAGTGCCTGGCTTAAAACAGTTGGCTATTCCACAATGGCATCCTGAGAGCCACACACTGCTTGAGGTACCCAGAAGTTTTGAGTAGGCAGGGTCCCTGACGATGCCTCGCTGGAGACCTCAAAGGTAAATGTGCATACCCCTGCCCCCAAGCTCCCTCTTCTAGGGTCTGCCTGGCAGGAGGCCTTCGTGTGCAGCATTCAATGATGAACATATATGGATCTATTAAGGCAAAAAAAACACCTGGATGTCCCATAGGGGTCAGGACACAGGCATAATTGGCCTGTGGGACCTGCCAGGTGGCCGTGGGAAGCGGAAGGCTCCAGTGGCTATGCTAACAAGAAGGAAAAAGCCTGAGAGCAAACCTGGGCCAAGCCTCACATGTGACTCTATTCTCTAGAAGGCAGTTCATGACTGAGACCAGGGACAGAGGAGGGAGGGCGGGCTATCCCAGGAACTGCACCTCTGTATCTTAATAAGGCAGTCACTTATACTAAAGGCCAAGAGGGAAGCACTCCCACAAACCACTGGAAAAGAGTACTGCTGGTGGGAAGGGCGGTGCAGGGCCCTGCCATTGGTGTGGCCTAAGATCTGTGTGAGGTTCCTGGACCACCAGAGAAAACGCTAAGCAAGGCCCAGCCCTGATGGGGACTGTGGATGACAGCAGCCTGACTCCACTGTGCCATCAACCCCCTGGGCAGGCACTGACAGCACTGCTCACACGGAGTACCAACCTGGGTTGGCCCTGTCCTAGGAGGCCATGCCCTGGTCAGCTCCTGCCAAGGCCACACGTGCCGTGCTTGCAGCCCAGGCATTCCCAAGCACCACATCAGAGGAGAGCTGCTCACCCCGCCATTCTAGGGGCATGGAAAGCAAGATTCACAGAGGTACAGTCACGGCCTGTGACTCCACCCCCAAGCTGCGGCCTCCATAGCAAACACTTCTTCCTCGCCACTAGATTCCTCTTGGCATCAACCAGGGCTGAGCATCTGTTCTCCACAAAGCTCAGGTCATTGGAACACAAAGGCATTGTCCCCTTGAACCCTCGACCACACATTGCTGGAGGCAGAGAGGGCGGGGGGAGGTCAGGGTTGTGATGGCCAGAGGGGCAGTGTCCCTCTGCAGTGCCCGTGGGAAGGGTCTTGTATGTGGCACCACCTGCCATATGGATGCCCTGGGAGCCCCCAACACCCTGCTCTGGCCCAGCAGATCCAGCGCCCCAAGGTCTCTTACAGGCCAGAAACCATAAAGGCAGCAGTAAGAGGCCCCAAGTGAGAGAACTTGGGATTGGGGGTACACACGCACCCCACCTCACAGCAGGGCCAGGATCCAGCTCCCACCCTCTCTGCCTTATCTAGTCTCCCACAATGGTACAAGAGCTTGTGGACACCTGAGTCAGTCCCAACTCTCCTCTGACCAGAACCTTCCATGGCTCCCACCTCACTCAGAGGAAAGGCTTCACTGCCCATCACCTCCTCCCATATTCACCTCCCTCAATCCTCTCCAGTCATACGGGCCTCAACACACTGGGCGCAGTGTCACCCCAGGGTCTTTATACTGGTCGGTTCTCAGCCTGCAGGACTCTGCATGGCCTCCTCCCATATTCACCTCCCTCAATCCTCTCCAGTCATACGGGCCTCAACACACTGGGCGCAGTGTCACCCCAGGGTCTTTATACTGGTCGGTTCTCAGCCTGCAGGACTCTGCATGGCCTCCTCCCATATTCACCTCCCTCAATCCTCTCCAGTCATACGGGCCTCAACACACTGGGCGCAGTGTCACCCCAGGGTCTTTATACTGGTCGGTTCTCAGCCTGCAGGACTCTGCATGGCCTCCTCCCATATTCACCTCCCTCAATCCTCTCCAGTCATACGGGCCTCAACACACTGGGCGCAGTGTCACCCCAGGGTCTTTATACTGGTCGGTTCTCAGCCTGCAGGACTCTGCATGGCCTCCTCCCATATTCACCTCCCTCAATCCTCTCCAGTCATACGGGCCTCAACACACTGGGCGCAGTGTCACCCCAGGGTCTTTATACTGGTCGGTTCTCAGCCTGCAGGACTCTGCATGGCCTCCTCCCATATTCACCTCCCTCAATCCTCTCCAGTCATACGGGCCTCAACACACTGGGCGCAGTGTCACCCCAGGGTCTTTATACTGGTCGGTTCTCAGCCTGCAGGACTCTGCATGGCCTCCTCCCATATTCACCTCCCTCAATCCTCTCCAGTCATACGGGCCTCAACACACTGGGCGCAGTGTCACCCCAGGGTCTTTATACTGGTCGGTTCTCAGCCTGCAGGACTCTGCATGGCCTCCTCCCATATTCACCTCCCTCAATCCTCTCCAGTCATACGGGCCTCAACACACTGGGCGCAGTGTCACCCCAGGGTCCATCAGGTCTGTGACTGATTCCCAGCTTCCAGGGAGGTCTTCCTGACCACTCCCTCCCTAGCACACTCAAGCCCCTTTCCCCCTTTAATAACTGGCCACAGAGCACACTATACATTTTCTTCCTCATTTTCTGTTGCATTCCTCCTCTGCCCTCTTTCTGAGCACCCCAGGGGCAGGATGGGCATCAGCCCCACCCATGTGGCAACTGCTTCTCAGTACAGGCCTGGACCACAGGAGGCTTGCAACAAACATTTGCTGAGCCAGGTAATGTGGCTCAAGCCTGTAATCCCAGCACTACAGGAGGCAGAGGCGAGAGGATTGCCTGAGCCCAGGGGTTCAAGACTAGCCTGGACAACATGGCAAGACCTCATCTCTACAATAAATCAAAAAATAATTGGGGCCAGGCACGGTGGCTCGCCTATAATCCCAGCACTTTGGGAGGCCGAGGTGAGAGGA